TAAGGGGTGGAAGTGGGGGATACAGGAGAGCAGGTGTCAACAAACTCTTTTCTGTAAAGGGCCAGGGAGTAAATATTTTAGCATTAGCTATCTGGTCTCAATCACAACTACTCAGCTCTGTGGGTGAGCTAATATGTAAATGAATGGGTGTAGCTATGTGATAATAAAACTTTATTTGCAAAAACAACAGTCCACAGCTAGAGAGAGGCAGCCAGGAGGCAGCTGCCTTGGTAGTGAAAACAGGAACCAACCCTTTAGGCCACCATCTCACTGAAACTGAAGTTCAGTAACCAAAAAAGACCAAAACAGCAGATGGTGGAGCTAAAGCAGAGGCAGCGTGCTGCCCAGTGTCCCAGTGACTCCCCCCACCATCCCCCGGCCCCACCTCCCTGGACACAGAGCACCAGGGCTCTTGGGCCAGCCCCACTTTGGGGAAGTAAACCACCTCTGCTCTCTGGGCCTCCCAATCCTCATGTCCCAAAGGAGGACACCACTGCCTCCCTGGCCTAGCACTGGAGAAATTTTTTTTAAGTGTAAATTTCAAGCTTGAGCCAGCAGCTCATCCAGCTGTGTACTGCTCCCCTCCGCCCCAAAAAGATAATAATGCCTTTGATTTTCTAAGTACCTATGATGAATCAGGTGCTCTGGTGGGTGTTCAGAAATGAGGAAAGAGCAGGGAGGGAGCCTGTTTCCCAGCTGAGACCCTTCTACCTGTTCCTACCATTTGCAGGCAGCACCCCCACCTCCTGTAACATAGGGGCAGAGTGGAAAGAGGAGAGAAGGACCCTCCTCCAGGCCAGGGTCCAGCTGGGGCAGGACTGCCTCCCCCCAGGGCCCACGCCCACCTACAGCACCTCAGCCACCTCTGCCTCCCGGGAGCAGCCTCACCATGGCCTACTCCCCATTCTGGGCTAGGGACTCTACTTCCTTCTCTTCCAGGCATTGAGGACTGAAGCACAGGGGCTTCCCACACTCTGAAAGGGATGTAGCTCTGATGGGACGGGGATACCTGCTGGATGGAAAAGCTGCCCAGGCCAGAGCTGCTCCCCTGGGAGTCCGAGAACACTGGTTCCTGAAGAGTGGTGCCCCAGAGGTGCACCCCAAACAAGGGCTCCATGTCAAACTAAGTTGAAAACTTTACATGCCTTTGCCTCCTCCTGAAAATTTACTGCCTGCAATCATGCCCCTTGGAGTTTCTGTTCTAAAGGGTCTGGGAAGTCTTTAACCCATTGTTTCCCACACGTACCTGGCCTTGACCCTTCTGCAGATCCTCAACCTAGAATCCTCAGCCTTATCCTACCTCTTCTGCCCCATCCAAACTCCTCCTGTCTCTAGGAATCTCCCCTCCCTCAGGGCCCACCTCAAGGATGACCGTCCCAGCCGCAAAGCCCACCAAGCCCTAAGCCCACCTGTAGGCATGGGCTCGGCCACCTTCCCCTGGAGCCCACGGGGAGCAATTTCATGGGGAAGAGAGATGAGCAGGAACAGAAGGAGGCTCACAGCCAAGTCCTGAGTAGAAAAAGGAGGCTACAGAGCCCCAGGGCCATAAGATACTATGTTTGCTGTGGTTTAAAACAGAAAAGAAGAAATACACCTGCATATTTGTACTTAAAAAAACATGAAAGACATACATCAAAATGTTAATCGTGATTATCTAGAGTGCAGGGACAGCACGTTTTGTATGTAAAGGGCCAGACAGTGAACATCTTAGGCTTGGAGTCATGTAACCCTGCAGCTGTTGCTTTAAAGCACCCATAGATATAGATGATACCTAAATGAATGGGCAAGCTGTGTTCCAATAAAACTTAATTTACATACCAGGCTGCTGGCCAGAAGGTCACAATTTGCCAGTCCCTGATCTAAAGACTGAATGTGATTTTTAATTTCCCCTTTTTATATTTTTATGTATTTTCTATATTTGCCACTATAAACATTATTATTACTTATATAAACTAGGAAGGCGGGAGTGATAAATCATGCATTTTTAAAGGTGCAAACAATTCTTAAAACATAAAAATCCAAAGAATGTCACTCTTAAGAAAAATGCAAATTTAAAATGATGCTGAGATAGCATATTTCACAAATCAAGATTGATAAAACATCAAAACACTTACACTATGAAACATTCTCTGATATAAACCGTAGCAATGTTCTCCTAGGTCAGTCTCCCAAGGCAATAGAAATAAAAACAAAAATAAACAAATGGGACCTAATAAAACTTACAAGCTTTTGCACCGCAAAGAAAACCATAAACAAAACAAAAAGACTACCTATGAGAACCTAGGAGAAAATATTTGCAAATGATGCAACTGACAAGGGCTTAATCTCCAGAATATACAAACAGCTCATACAACTCAGTAACAAAAAAAACAACCCAATACAAAAATGCGCAGAAGACCTAAATAGACATTTCTCCAAAGAAGACATACAGATGGCCAACAGACACATGAAAAAATGTTCAATATTGCTAATTATTAGAAAAATGCATATCAAAACTACAATGTGGTACCACTTCATACTGGTCAGAATGGCCATCATTAAAAAGTCCACCAACAACAAATGCTAGAGAGGGTGTGGAGAAAAGGGAATCCTCCTACACTGTTGGTGGGAATGTAATTTGGTGCAGCCACTAAGGAAAATAGTATGGAGATTCCTTAAAAAACTGAAAATGGAGTTCCCATATGATCCAGCAATTGCAACTCTGGGCATATATATGGAGAAAACTCTAATTTGAAAAGATAAATGAACCCCAATGTTGGCAGCAGCACTATTTACAATAGCCAAGACATGGAAGCAAACTAAAATGTCCACTGACAGATGACTGGATGAAGATGATGTGGTATATATACAGAATGGAATACTACTCGGCCATAAAAAGAATGAAACAATGCCATTTGCAACAACATGGATGGACCTAGAGATTATCATACTAAATGAAGTCAAAGACAAATATTATATGGTATCACTTACATGTGGAATCTAAAAAATGATGCAAATGCACCTATTTACAAAACAGAAAGAGATTCACAGACATAGAAAACAAACTTAACAGTTATCAAAGGGGGAAGAGGGGGACTAGGAGTTTTGAGTTTTGGGATTAGCAGATACAAACTACTATATATAAAATAAACAAGGTCCTATTGTATAGCACAGGGAACTATATTCAATAGCTTATAGCAACTTATAATGAAAAAGAATATATGTATGTATAACTGAATCACTATGCTGTACACCATGAACACAATATTGTAATCAATTATACTTCAATTTTTTAAAAACACTTGCACTATGTTATGACCGTTTATGAAGCAGAATTTCTCACACATCTCAGTGGCACTGAAACAACCCCTACAAGGTCCAAGTTGGCAATCTACCCAAATGACCAATGCTCATACCTTTTGACCCAGAACTTTCCTGACTAGGAACTCACCCTACAGACAGATTCCCACTGAAATAACACACAGGTATGACTCTGTTCTGGACTGTGGCATATGCTGAAAAGAGCCCAAGTCTGGAAGTGACCTATCTGTTTCTCGGTTGGGAACTGCGTAAACAAACTATAGGACACCTGTCCTACAGGATACTACAAATATCACGTCGCAGTGCAAAGAAAAGGTAGCTCTGATGTAGAACAATCTCCAAGAGATATATTTTAAACGAAAAAAGGCTAAAGGGAGAACATGCATTTTAAAAAAGGAAGAATACATGCACATAATTGCATGTATATGCTGCTAATTATCTTGAAATGATATAGGAGACTAGGAATATTGACTACAGAGGAGCCAGGAGGCAGGGGATGGAGGTGGAAATTTTTACTGTCTATTCTTTTGTACCTTTTAAATTCAGTATAATGTGCTGAAATCATCTATTTCAAAAAATGTCAAATTAAAAGAATAAAGTGAAATTTAACAAAATAAATCACACCAAAAATCAAATATGGGCTTCAAGGGATGCTAGCCAATCAGAGCAAAGAAAGCTCTGTGATCCTGACCCTCAGTTTCCTCACCTGCGAGGAGGAGGTAACACCTGTGTGGCTGACCCACCTCCACCTGGGAGGGAGGTGGGGTGTATGCCGAGCCTCCATGGTGACTGGCTGCACTCGGCACAAGTGAGTCCCTCCGCTTGCCCAGATGGCCTCAAGGCCCCAGCCTATGGTGACTGCAGAAGGTGCTAACGATGCTGAGGAGGGGGCAATGGGGAAGGGCAGCCCTAGTTGCTAGTCTCTGGACCGGTGGAGGCACTGAGCTCTGCAGAACCACAGACGAGCCACAGCTGTCAGCAACACGCTCTCTTGGCCATTCTCCCTCCCTCTCCTCCACCACCAGGCAATGCACCCCATGAAACATGACACTAAGCCTGGCACCCACACCAGGTGGAAGCATCTACTGCCCTCTTCATGGAGGGAGGGCACCCTACATAACCCCAAGGAGCGAAAGACTAAGAAGAGTCCTGGGCACCATGGTTCATGGGCCCAGGGCCCTCCAGCCAACACACAGGAGAATGAGCTTCCTCCACCTCACCAGCAGGGCAGTTGCACCACTAAAATGATTCCAGGCCTTTATTTTCACACTTACTTCCACTCACATCTCACAGCCCCTTGAAAGCTGGCATAAGCAGGAATCACCTTTCCCATTACATTTTAAAGAGAACAAGGCCCAGAGAAGTGAAATGACTTTAGCCGACACCTCAGGCAACAGTGGCCACTACCAGATCGTCCAGCTCTCTGTCCCTCACTCTTCCCACACTGTCGTCGGGCTCCCAGAACTCTGTCTTCTGAAGACAACCACCCCAACACGTGCAGGATTTACTGCTTCAGCAGCTTCCTGAAACGGGGCCCTTCCCACGAGCTCAGTGTGACAGGCCAGTCCCCTCAGTCCTCCCGAGAGCGCCCGCACCCACGTGGGCCAAAGGAGAGGGAGGCCACACTTAGCGCCACCAACGTCAGCAGCACCGGAGCCCCAGATAAACATCCAGGTCCCGCCCGGCTGCCGGCCACCTACCCCTTCTTCAGGTTTGTCACATAAGCGCTCTGGAGGGCGGCTTCCAGGAAGTAGGTGAGCTCATAGTCCACTGGGTGGGAGCCTTTCAGGTGCCGGGATGTGATGTTACTTGTGATCTGGGAAGCGGAACAGAGAGAGCCACTGTCTAGAAGTTCTGAGGCCAAGGGGCCGGGGTCAGCCCAGGCAGGGACAGTGGCCCCATCATCACCCAAGTCCTCAGACACCTCAGGAGCATGCAGTGCAATCCTCAGACCAAACTCAACCTAACTTGCTTTAATTTAAAATATGTCTGAAGCACTTTCCCTGTGCAAATGCCCACAGCAGCACTACAAGGCTGGTTCTGATTAAATGATTTGATTTGCATTGTATAGATGAGGAAATTGAGGCCCAGAAAGTGCTGGAGGTCACAAGGCTGGCTTGGGCCTCGACCTCAAAGTCAAGTCTGGCCAGCTACACATTCCAGGCTCTACTACTTACCGGTGCATTTATTTAACAAACACTTGAGAACCTACCCGACGCCAGGCACTGCACTATTCCTGTCACATAACCATGGACCCTAAGAACAGCCCAACGGCTGGGGGACCCCTGGTTCCAGGAAAAGCTGAGGAACAATTATATTAACTGAGCTGCTGCTTAAGCTTTAGCCCTAAGAGGGTCACCCAGCCCCACCGAGATGGGCCTGGTTGTACTATGCCACCTCCCTCACCTCCCTCTCTGATTCGAGGGGAAAAAAGTCAAGGAGCCACCCACCTTATCTTTCAGAAACTGAAGGAGGCATAAGAGACACTCTTAGATCCTCAGAGGTTGGGCTGGGTCTTGGGAGGGACACCCAACACTGCTGAACACACAGGCTTCCCTGGCCTGTCCTCCCTCCACCCAAGATAACTAGCTATCGGGCCCATTTGTCTACCCTCTGACCCCAGGCACTGCTTCCAGGCCTGGACTCCATTACAGCTCATCTCCCGTAATCTCCTTTTAAGAGTCCAAAGCCTGGCCTTCTGGCTGAATGGGAGACTTTCTTTTTCAGGGAAGTTTCCTCCAAAGCACATGCAATTCAAATGTGAAGAGCTCCTGAAACACTGCACGTGACCTTGGCAGAGGTCAGCTCAAGTCTCCACGAGGAAGTTCGCCAGGGAATACACTTGAAACCTGTTTCTGCTGAGCTGCCCAATCACGTCTCCTCAACCCTGAAGTCCAGGCAAAATCATTTAATCAAAACCAGCCTCGTAGTGCTGTTGGGGCAGTGACTCGCAACAGGGGTACAACTCTGCCCCCCACCCCGGACATGTGGCAATATCTGGGGACATTTTTGGTTGTCACAATGTAGGGAGTGGGCATGGACTGGCTGCTGGTATCCAGTGGGTGGAGGCCAGGGGTGCTGCTAGACATCCTACAGTACACAGGGTGGCACAAGTGTTATCTGGCCCCAGACGTCAGTAGTGCTGAGGCTGAGAAGCCCTGCTCTAGGGGAACTGATCTGGCCTGAGGAAGACTCCTCCAGAAAGGCCCACCACAAAAACAGGTGCTGGGGTGACATTTTGGTATTTGCCAAAGTAAGTGAGGTTCAAACAGCTCCTGAGCGCTGAGTCTCTCAGCTCGTGACCACCTCCATCTGGACCCAATCCGCATCTACTCTACCACCTAGCACCTACTAAACATCTACTAAAAGAATGCCTAAGCACCACCCCAAAGCCTCCCCCACAAGTAATGCAGGGTTCAAATCCTGCCAATATCACTTAGGAACTATCTGAGCTCTGGAAAGCTATTTAACTCCTTCCTAAACCTGAGTTCCTCACTTATAAAATGGGAATAAAACAGTAACCTGTTCCAGCTGGTTGTCTGAGGGTCAAATTAAACTGTTAAGAACTGTAAAGTACTCAGTAGTGCCTGACACAAAAGCAGGGACGCAGTAACCGTTAGCAGTATCTCTGCTGAACACAGCTGCTGTTGTCCATCTATTAACCCCAGAAAAGGGAGAACTAGGGTAACGTCACAGTATGCTGCTCACACCTGGAACTGCCCTCCTGTAGACAGTTCATACAGGCATGACCCACAGGCTTGGGGGGCGGGGTGTGAGTAGATACAGGTGCTCAAAAGAGGGCAGTGATGACCACGGGGCTGTTATTCCCAGCTCACCTTCTCCAATTCCTGCAGGAACACCTGAGCAATCCAGGAGGCCCTCTCGAAACAGGCGATCACCTCCTCCTCCCTCTCAGTCACGCGGTGGCGGGACGCGATGGAGTTGGGTAGGTGTTCCAGGGAGAGGCCTGCAGGAGGAGAATACCTTGGACCTGCCCTGCTCAGGGCGCCCCCTGTGATTCCCACCCCTTCCCATGGGCCCAGGGTGGACTCCTCTGAGGAGACTCTGGAGCAGCCAGCGGGAGGTGGGAGATCCTCGGAGGGGAAGAAGGGGCTAAAGCAAGGATGGTATTAGCGGCGGCTGGGGTTAAGCAGTGGGCCGAGAGCAGGCACCCATTCCCCCAGTGGGGACCCACGCTGTGGCAACCCCATGCCCAACTCCTGCCTCTCGGTCCAGGCAGCACCTCCCAGAACCATTCCTAACCCCTCCTCCCAGTTGCTAGAAAACATCCACTCGCCAGGCACTCACCGTGTCTACATCCTGGAGTAGTTATTTACATTCAGTTCTTCTCTCCCCCAGTAGCTCAAAGCTCCACGTGAGCAAAATATGAGTCTTTGTGGACTGCCAGTCCCTAGCATGCAGTAGCCGGTGGAATTACACTGCATTTATATGCTCCCCTCCCGTGGAACCAGAGTTTCTACTGTTACGGGCACTCAGCTTCTCTGTGCCTGAAGTGGAATCTGCTGGTTTTGGCTCCCTGGCTTCCACCTCCCATTCTTTCAGGAACAGCACCTCATTTACCTTTAAGCACTCATCCCACAGCCTCAGTCCCTGTGGTTCACAGGGCGGAGACCCCGCCCACCCCCAGGGCAGGCACGTGAGCCTGATCCCTCAAAAGAGCCGCAGTGATGGGCTCAGCGTGCACACCTGGCCCAATCTGGGCCAAAAAGACCCAATCCCAGGAGTCTCACCCTTTCCACTGGGGTTGTTAAGCTGCTAAGAGGCCAGCCTGGAAATGTTAGGGAAAGCCCTCCCTAAAATGAAACTACACCATATGAATGTTAATATGACTGTACACTTGGAAATGGTTAAGATGGTAAATTTTATGTGCTTTTTACCAAAATTAAATTTTTAATACTTTTTTTTTTGATGGAGCTGCTGGGGATTGAACCCAGGACCTCGTGCATGCTAAGCATGTGCTCTACTCTAAACTTTTTTTTAAAATTACCATGAAAGCATAGCTCTAAAGCCAAAAAAAAAAGACAAAAAAAAAAAACTCTCAAAACTATAAGATACTAAGAAAGGAAAGCTGTAAATGAAACAACTATGTTTGTGATTTTTTTTTGAGACAGGGAAAAGATTGACTAAACTCTTAATCATGAAAACAAAAAAAGAAGTCTACACAGAGCAGAGATGAGACATGATGGAAAAGGGCAGATTCCTAAGACATTGAGGACCTTGCCTGAAGCTCCACACCCTGAAACTTGCCAGTATCTGCACCAGTAAACCCTTCCTCCTACTTTTTTCGGGGGGGAGGGGTCAAAGTCCACTTAAATTGTGGTCCTGTTATGTGCAACTCACAGTCCTGACTAGAAGAGTGCTGTCCTAGCCTGCAGTTCTCTGTGGGCGGAATCCAGATCTTTCTCCTCTTTGTGCCCAAACAGTACTTTACTTGTAGCAGGTGCTCCAGATGAACTGACAGAAGGAAGGGGTAAGAGGAGAATCCTCGGGGAGAAGGTACAGCTCAGTGGTAGAAGGCATGCTTAGCGTGCCCGAGGTCTTAGTTAATTAATTAAATGAGAACATAAAAAATAAAGAAGAGAATCCTCAACTCTCTCCTGCCTTTTGCCCTAACACCCAACTGATAACCAAGCCTTCAAACCTTCCCTACCCCTCCTTTCTCTTATCTCCTTATTTCAGGCTTTATCTCTTGAGTGGATGACCACTTCAGCCTCCTGGCTGGCCTCCTTGCCTCCAGTCTCACTCTAATCTATCCTGCTCATGGCTCCCAGGCTGATCTTTCTAAAACTCCACTGCTTAAAACCTTCCAAGAGTCCCCTGGGTAAAGTCCAAACTCCTGACACTCCATACCAGGCCCTCCAAGATCCATCCCCATCACCTCCCCAGCCTTGTCTCTCACCATATGTTAGAGATAGAATGTTTGTGTCCCTGTGAGAGTCACATGTTGAAAACCTAATGCTCAAGCTGGTGGTATTACGGGGTGGGGCCTTGAGGAGGTGATTAGGTCGCGAGGGTGATAGGGATCAATGTGCTTATAAAAGAGACCCCAGAGAGCTCCCTCACCCCTTCTGTCATGTGAACATACAGCAGAAAGTTGACAGCCTGGGGCAGAGGGTACAGTTCAGTGGCAGACTGCATGTGCACAGTCTCCTGGGTTCAATCCCCAGTACCTTCATTTAAAAAATAAATAGACCTAATTAACCCCCCTCTAAAAACAAAAACAATTTTTTTTTAAAGTGAAGAAGTTAGCAGCCTACAAGCTAGAAGGGGGCTCTCACCAGAGCCTGACAATGCTGGTGCCTTGATCAGACTTTCAGCCTCCAGGACTATGAGGAATAGGGATCTACCGGGTGTAAGCCACCAAATCTGGGATGCTTTGTTATAGCAGCCGGAGCTGACTGTATGACACCATACCTGCTGCATCAACACCCAACCTCCCGCTCCTCTTGCCTGGAATGCACCTCCCCGACCCAAAGTCCACCTTGTAGCCACCTTGTACCCCACTGAGTGCCACCTCCTCTACAGAGCCCTGCCTAATATACCGTGGTGTAACCAACCACTCTCTCCTTGGGCCCTAGTCTACACTTGGCATATTCCTGCCCCACCATTTCTTGTACTTATTTGTTCATGTGTTTGCCCAACCAGACTGTAGGCTCCTTAAAGACACTTATCAACTTCCCCTTTCTACAACCTGCACATAGTAGGCACTCAGCAACCACTGGCTGGCTGAAGAAATGAGAAGCCTGATCATGCCTTACACAGCACAAGGTGCTCTACAAACACAAGGTAAGGAATTATTGCTTTTCTTAGCTAGATCCCAACTCATATGGATTCAGTGACCTTGCCCTCTGCCAGGGTGGGATGTGAACAGGTCCAAAGGTCGGGATGCCTCAGCCTGGGGAAAGGCAGGCACAGACCGTGAAGGCCCTTGCTCAACACAAGAATTAAGCAACACAGGTCACCAACTGTCAACGTGCCTCCTGCCAAATGATTCATGACTGGGGGAGGCCTGAAGCAGGAGGAGGCACAGCAAAAGGCAGGAGAAGGCAGGCCCCAGTGCTCACCACTGGCGCTGGCCCAGCCCCTCCTCTCCAGACCATGGCCCGTGTACCCTGCAGGAAGGTGGGGACAGAGACACTGTTCAGGGACCTGGCCTGGGAGCCAAGTGCAGATGGCAGGAGGGCACAGCCAACTCCAGAAGACAAAGAGAGGACTGTTTTAACACATCTGCTCTGTGTCCCCCACCCCACCCCGAGAGATTTCCTGCTGGCTGGGTTCCCCTCCTGCCCCACCTCTGGGCCCTGAACTGGGAAGGACGATGCCAGCTGCCTGGCAGGTTCAGGCTGCCAGTGCCAAGCCTCCGGTGGGCTCGCCACGGCAAAACGGTGAATCCAGTATCATCTGTCTGCGGGGCCGCCACCTTCCCCATGCTTCATTGGTTCCTTCCCCTCCTAGCAGAGACCTCTCCACCATGCTTCTCTGAGAATTCTACATCCCATCCTCCTTGGAAGCTCACAGCAAAACCACCTCTTCTCTGAAGGCTTCTTAAGTCTCCAGACTTCAAAACCAACAGAACGTTTTAACTGCGTCTCCTTTGTGCATGTCTTTCCCCTATGTTGCAGCCATCCTCTCTGCTCATTTCTGGTTGATCTTTGCACCCAGCCAGAGCAAGGCCTGGTAGATGGACATACAGATGAACACATACATTCACTCATGCCAAGTGTGGAGCCCGGCAGGGTTTCTCCCTCTCCATCTAAAAAATGGTTCTTGCAGAATTCACAAACTGTGGCATATCTGTACAATGGACTACTACTCAGAAAGAAGCAAAAGGGCACACTCTGGGTACATACAGCATGGATGAATCTCTCAGAACTTACATGGCACAAAAGAAGCCAGATACCAAAACGTATGTGCTGTATAATTTCAGTTATACGACGTTAAAAAAAAAATAGAATCTGTATTAACAGAAACCAACCAATCACTGTCTGGGGTTGGGGTGGGGAGGGAATCAATTGGCAAAGGACCTGAGGGAATTTTCTGGGGTGATGGAAATGTTCTTTGTCTTTATTTGGCGTGTTGGTTACATGTGTATTTATACTTGCCTAACTGATCAATTATACACTTAAGATCTGTTCCCTGTATGAAAATTTATCTAAAAATAATGAATATAATGTCTTTTGTTTAATAAAAAAAAAGGCAATATGATTCCCAAGAACTAATGAAGGACAAAGTAGAGGGGCTACAGTGACTGAGGTGCTGGTCTGTGAAATAATCTCCAACATACATAAGACCAAAAAGTTTCCTGGAGCTGGCAATGGCTTTTCCTAATGAGGGTCACATTCCAGCTGCCCAAGTCTGCCCATAAAAAGGGGCTTCTTTGCCTTATATTTGCACTTTGATTCAAACCAAGGTCCATTTTCCTGTCCACAAACATCTGATTGGAAATCTACTGGGAACTCCAACCCTCGGGTTCCTTCCCCCTCTGCCCCGTGTGTTTGAGCACAAGTGGTCAGACCACAACATGACATCCAAGGTGGAGACGGGCTGCTCCTGAGCCGGGCCCCCAAAGGATCCCAGTGGTTGTAACCCAGCCCTGTCACAAGGGTGGGAAGCCAGGGGCTGCCAGGAAGCACCAGGCACTGCCTCACGATTCCCACTGGCAGAGGGGCCTATCTGTGAAAACACCCAGCTCTACGAGCCAAGGAAGGTCCCCCTCCAAGAGGAGCACTTGCTTTTTCATTAACTCCGAACTTCCGGTCTGGAGGCAAGCTGATCCTGGCACAGTCCCGAGCTCAACACCCAGGCTGGTCCCAGCCTCATCAGTCTGAGTGACTCATCACATCCCAGACAGCAGCCCTTCCAAGAAGCCCTGCCTTTGGAGCCCTGGGCCCTGGATGCAGAGATGGAGAGCATAATGCTTCCTCTGCAATGGAACTTTCCAGATGG